TGACAAACTAGGAGTCAAACCCAAATTCCAAAGTCTAGTCTGTTAACTACCATATTACCAAATAGTAAACTATCACTAACTTCCTACTATCCTCTCGGATTCTTTCTAAAATTGTACTGTTCACTATAAAGTATTCTTGATTCCCACCTACATCAAGAATCTCTATTATTAAACAGCCCTCTTACCCTAAGCCACCCATATAGGCAAAAGAGGAAAGAGCAAGAAATAGTACCAATATATAAATATCAAAATCAAGAAGAAAAGAGAATATAAAGTAAATCCAGAAACACCAGACCAAATTCTCTGACTCCAAAGGCCACATTCTGTGGACATTTTGCAAAGCATCCAGCACACAAGAGGCTTCAAAAGCAATACTGCTTTTACATGGCAGTCATCACATGGCCTGCACGAACTCAGCAGGTAGTACCATGACACATCTAAGTCAAAAGTTGTTCCACACAATAAATAAAAGAGCACATTTTGCTCTAGTTAAGACATAACCAAAGAAAGTTAAGGGCTGAAAGAATCATGGTGACAAATAATCTTACCCAAGGGTCCATTTCTTTAAAACCAGTTACTAAAGGAAGAATGCCTAGGAGCCTTCAATTTCTTTTATAGGCTACAAGTTCCTTTCTTTAACATCAGTTATACAACCCATATAATTTGGCAAACGCAACTTAGAAGTTTAAAAGTAAATAAATCTTTCCCTTTGTTAAAGGGCCCCACACAGAAATCAACCTAGCTAAGAATGTTTACATTACAAATGTTATTTAGCCCCACAAAGCCTAAGGCAAACAAATAAGAAATACAGAACTTCCCTCCTACACAAATCAATTCCATAACAAGTGAATTCCAGAAATCAATTTCAAAAAGAAAACTAGAAAACAGTAGACAATTGACAAAGAACTTCTTCAGGCATTTTTTTTAAAATCACTTCAAGCTAATGTGATAATTCCAAAATAAAATATAAACAGTATTTTGGAAACACAGAGGAAGAAGATCAACACATAAAACAGGGTCGGATAAAATGGATGGTTTTTCTACCTGCTCTACAGATGGCTCTATTTGCCGTGGCAGAACCCACATGTGGATCCACTAAATACTTTCAATTCAATACCATGCTAACAACAAAAACAACGAAATGAAATATAAGCACATGAAAGATGTTATAAAAATAAAAACATGACTGCTTAACTTAAAATTCAATACAACATTAAACAGTTAAAAAAAAAAAACATTTTAAAATTCCTCCCCAAATTCTGCTAAATGATTGAATTTCTATCCTAGTTTTCACACTTGTACATTTTCTTATTTTTCTGCAGCTTCCCGGATATATTGGAAGAAAGATAAAAGACTGACAGACTTCTAGCTGGATTATAATCTTAGATAAATGTTTGGAGCCTAACTTGCTCATTAGCGCTTAATTAGAGTGGAGCTCTTCTGGTGATTTTTTTTTTTTTTTGGTTGGTATATTCCAAAGAGAAGCCAATCTACCAACCTGGCTCCATCAGTTCACTGTACCAAGGCTAAAGTCCACCCATGGATCACTGCATCGATATGGTGGGTAAAAGGAGAAAAACAGGGACATTCATCAAGAAAAAGCAGTCATCTATAGAAGGTATAAAAGAACCCAGATCAACTATCAATATTAAGACTTTCAAATCTGTTTTCTTAGTATGATTCCAAAGAAGGCTACTTAGAAATGTTTTAAATAGGAATTTACTATGATACAAGAGTAATATAAGAACAAGAACCAATTATTTAAGGCCGAAACTATGGCTATTGAACTAAAAATAATAAATAAAAAATAATAAAGTTCTAAATAACAGCACTGACAATGCTGAAAACTGAATTAATAAATTAGAAGACATGAGAAAAAAAATGACAAAGGGTGAAAATTGTACAGAAACAAGTAAGCCACATGGAAGATATTTATCTTTCTAGGCTGTATGATAGCAGGTTGCAGACAGACTAGCTAATTGTTCACCAAGTCTATTTCCTCTTCCTCCTGGTCACACAGCTAGAATATATTTCCAAGCCTCCCATGCAGTGATTGAGCTCTAGCCAATGTAATGTAGGCAGAAGTAATATGTGTCACTTACAAGCTTGATCCATAGAAAACCTCCAGGTATTATTTACTCTCTTTTCCCTTCTGCTGTACCCTTGGAAACCACATGGTGAAGAGGTAGAGCCACAAGATGGAAGAGGCCTGGCTCCTTTGGTCACTTGAAGGAAAGCCACCCCACCAGGAATTTTGGTCTCCACATAAGCAAGAAATAAAACTTCTATTATGAGATTTTAGAGGTTAGCTATTATAGCAGGCAGCATTGTTTAACAAATATAGAAACTAGTATTACAAGTATTGTATTGCCATAACAAAAAAAAACTAAAATAAATGGCACTGGTTTATTGGTCAGGCAGTAAGCAGCCCCAGAGGGTTAGAAAGCTGAACAAATGTAGATCCCAAACAGCAAGAAAAAGGAATAGCAAAGGTTTGAGTAATAAAGTCCAAGGAAGACTTCTAGTTGAACAAAGTGACTCAATCCCAAGGCAGAGATCAGATTCAAGTGTGGTCTTCCCAACCATTGTTTCATATAGCCTTAAAGTAAGGCCATTAAACTGAGAACGAGGCATGAGGCAAGGGTTATACTCCCCCACCTCCACTACTTCCCCAAACAGGGCAAAAGAAAAACAAAATAATTCTTGAAAATTATATTTAGGAAAGAACACTGGGTATGGTGTCCACATAGAACCAACTAGAAAGAAACAGATCAGAAGCCTATTCACTTTTGAAGGAACCATAATGCTAAAAAAAAACACAAATCTGGACTAAATAAACTTTTTGACTGTTCAAAGCCTTTAAACAACCGTAGGGCCCCTAAACTTGCAAGAACAGAAAGCAGGCAGTGAAAGATATATATATAGATACAGATGTGGATGTGGATGTAGATGTAAATGTAAATGCAGGTGCAGATATAGATACAGATATACAGAAATAAAGAGAAATATGCCTTCTAAGGAATGTATAGTACCCACCATCCACTTCAGAATTATACATAGAAAAAATATACAAGGAAAAACCAGTGTGCAGCTAGGAGCCCTGGAGAACAATGAGCAAAGGAGTTCATTCCAGTGAACCAAACTTTAGGCAAGGAAGTTCTCCTACTACCAAAGCAGAGGGACTTCCCAATGCCTGCTCAAGAGGATTACATGATTTGCCAGAGAGCAAGGAATACTGTTTATCTTTCTATTTTCTAAATATGTTTTTGTTGTAGTTATTCTATTCTAGCTTCTCCATTGTATAGTGAGGGCATACAGGACACAGGTGCAACTAACTTGTAATTTTAGTTAACTGGTCACAAGCCCATGAAGAGCCACATCTGAATCTGATGGAGAGGACTGGGCATTCCTGGAAGATACCAGACTTTGACATAAATGTAGTGACTAGATGGGCCATTGGACTGTCTCCTTTAGGGAAGGAGTGAGTGTGTTCCATGCATGAGAGGAAGAGTGAAGAAATATTTGACGATCAGAGGGTAGACCATGCCAGAGACTAGCTACTATTCACCAAACCTGTGTCCTCCTCCTCTTAAAGAAAGTGAGATTACATTTCCCAGCCTCCCTTGCAGGAACACATAATTGAGTTCTGGCCAATGGAATGTGGGTAGAAGCAATAATGTGTGGTATCCATGCTTGGTCTTTAAAAACCCTCCCACACGCAATACACTTTGGTCTTTTCCCTTCCGTAGCAATCTTCAAAGACATATTAAAGATGGCAGAGCCACACGATGGACAGATTTTTAAGTCCGTAAATCACCACTGCAAAGAAAACCATCACCAATCGGAAACACCATTTTGGGCTTGACCTAAGTGAGAAATAAACCACCTCCTCTCCCTCTTTTCCAATATCCGTAAGTTCAAAGAAATACTTATTGAACACCTACTATGTATAAAATGTGTGGCAGTTTCTTTACCGTCTTCCTTTCTATGTACTTACTACAGACGATTTAAAAATGTGTAAGATATCTTTATTCAAGGATCTTATATATACCACAGCATTGGATAATAAGGAATGCAATAAGAGCTATTCCTGAAATGAAAAATTTTATAGGAGGAATAAAGGCTTATCAGTTAATTAAAAGTTCTGAATTCACAAAAGATTTACTATTTCTTTTTATGACAAAAATGCAGCAGCTAATAGTTTACACAGATTGAATACCATAATGGACAAATTCATTTCAACCTGACCTGAGTTCTACTACATGCTCTGATCCTTACAAGTTGTTTGAACTTGAGCAAGTCACTTCCCTCCCCTGGACCTTAATTTTTTCAGATAATTAAGGAATGAGACTAGGTAATCTCACATTAAGTGAAGTAATAATATTCTTCATGGATTCCTCTTTCATCAAAAGGGAAGTAAAGTTAATTTCTCAAGCAGAGACCTACCGCTCACTGGCTGAGCGAGGTGTGGGAGCAACACCGAGGGTTGCGATCCCGTTGCCGGTCCCGGTCCGGTACGGGCGCGACACTGAGGGTTGCAATCCGTTGCCGGACACGAAAAAAAGACAAAAAGGAAAAAAAAAAAATGACATATGATTATTTCTATCAGGTTTATCATCAACTACTTTTAAACTCTGCACTTTATAAGGTATAACACTGACAAAATTTAAAGGAAGAAAGGTAAAAAAAAATCCACATTCCCTGAGAAAAATTGGCAAGTCTCTTTTGTAGAATCAAATAGCCATCTGAACTAAGATTATCAAGTATATTTGAGTCCTAAAATATGATTCATAATATAACCTATTTCCTCATTTCCCACAGAATGATAAGAACTATAAATGACCTATTCAGGAATATTATTGTTTATAGAAACAAACAAACAAAAAAAAAACACTTTCCATAAACAACTGAATCTTCTATTTATTGTTGTAGGCTACATTATCAGGTACACTGGGAAATTTTGATAAAATCAATGTGACAAATTTCAAAAGAGCAAGTACTACTGCAAATCATTACTGCTATTTTATTCATAATGACCAAAGAAACGCAGATATTCCTTGTGGCTTTGGTAACATAGAGATGAAGATATTTGTTTTTAAAAATCTAAATATTTCTAACATATTTGTTAATTGAACAAGCCACAAATAAATCCCCTTCTATGATCATAATTCACACCATTTCTCAATAGGTCTTTTTTATAATATTTCTGTTAATATCAGAAATATCATATATAACATGACATCTTGCTTACATAGTAAATAATCAGCCAAAGGCACATGCAACAAAATTTAGGTCACTAACTAGAAAGAGAACTTTAAAATATCTTGGGCTTCAAATCATATCAAGTCAAGGAAAGTATAGAAAAACAGAAAAAGTTCTTCAAATCCCCAATAAAAATCATCACAATCTATCAGCAATTACTGAACAGCCACAGAGCAAAACAATATACTAATCAATAGCTCATTGCTCTGTCAAGAAAACAAAAAATATTTCTTAATCATGTGTTCCCATAAGGATGAAGGACTCTCCTTGAAAAGAAATTTATAAGAAACAATTAAGACACCTGGCAAAAAGAAACCTGTGTTTAACTGAATACTTGAAAAGCCACCGGCCAACCTATCATAAACACAAGACCTACTTGCTTCATGGCAGTCTCTCCAATTTTGTCTGAATGTTTGCGGATGCTCTCCAGAAAGTCTTTGAGATCAGACATAGAAACATCCTTAATTTCTTCTCGAAGCTTGGGGATGTTGTCCACCATCACCTTGCAAAATCGATAGTGGCTCACTTGAGGCAGATAGGTATGTTCTAGATGTTCCAGTGTTTTCAGTGCAGGATAATGCCTACAAAAGAAATCGATCACCTTTAGCTCAATTCAGTCTTCTTTAGGGTTACAGATATACTCCTCAGGCAAAACTTCTAGCTGTTGTTTTCACTGTACATTAAGACAAATCCAGTATTAAGTTTTAATAAAAACATCAATAGATAAAAATCTAAAATTATTATAAATTAATAAATATATGCTTTAAAAGCCTAAGAAATTACAATCAAAGATTTTATCCAAAGAATGTGTAAAACTTGGAATATCTATCAGTGAAATTAACTACATAAAGAATAAAAACAAATAAAAAATGATCATCTCAATGCAAAAAAAAATCTTAGAAAATGAGGTACCCAGGCTGGCCAGTTAGCTCAGTCAGTTACAACATGGTACTGATAACACCAAGGTCAAGGATTCGGATCCCCACACTGGCCAGCCACCAAAAAGAAATAAAATATAATGAAGAACCCAAGGCTAGACTTCCAACTACAGCAGAGGAAAGAGCTTTATAAATCTTCTACCCAAAAAACAAATGCAAAGTAGACAAAACTATCCAGAACAACCATTTCAAGGCTCTGGAAATTAACCAAAGGAGAAAAACAAATCAAGAAGTGTTTATTCGTGAAAACTGCTGAACAGTGAGGCTCTGCAGTATTTTTGCCTGGGGCTACTTTTATCAGCTCCCATCCAATTCCCCTACTCCTGGTCATTGATCATGACTAGTCACAAAAACCAGCAGCTTCACTGGCATTAGGGGTTGGCATGATTTGGAGCAGAGGGTGAAAATCCCATATCGAGTGGTATTGATAGTAAAAGTACCAAACTCAGTTTAAATAAAAAAGAAAAGAAAAGAAAAAGCCTTCAGCTCTAGCCTAAAGATGCAGTCTGGGTTGGGGCAAACAACAGACTGGAGAACTAACCAGAAATTCAACTGGGAGGTAACAGAAATAAGAGTGCTACAGAAGGGTTTGATAAGCTCTCCACATGTTCCTTACTGACAGGCTGTGCACACATGCAAGGAATACCTAAAAGGCCTATGCACTCCACACATCACTGGCTAAGAGGCTGTACGCACATAAGAGACCTAAGAAGGCCTGGCAGAAAGTAAGAGCTCAGACACACTTGGAAACTGCCTGAACTTTTAATGCACTCCCTAACCCACATACATTCCATTGGCAGAGTGGAAACCTTTGTTTAAGCACAGTCTCTGACCAATCATTAACTAATGACTATCCTTTAAAAATGAAAGTGAGCCCAGCAGACACCGAGGTGAGCTGAGACCCACATGGCATCAGGGATCAGTCTATGGCCAAGTAAAGCTGAAAAAAGAGCCAAGGTGGTGTAATATAGCCACCGCCACACCTACTGTCACCACAAGGACAGTTCACCACCACAGTAGCAGCCAGGGCCCCTCTACAAGCAACCTGCCACTCACTCAACTACATTGATATAAAAAGAGTCACCAGTAGAGATGCAAACAGTGGAGGAAATCTTAATCCTCATACCCAACCCCAGAGTAACAGAAGAAGCAAGTCCTCTACCAGATGACCAAACATCAATGAAAAAATACTAAAGCTACAAACAAACAAGAAGATATGACACCACTGAAGGAATACAGTAATGTTCAAACACCAGACCCCATAGAACACAGAATCCTTGAAATGTCAGAAAAGGAATTCTGAGCAATGATCTTAGGAAAACTCGAAAAGATAAGAGAAGACTCAATTAGAGAACACAATGAAAGAAGAAAAAATATCCAGAATATGAAGGAGAAAATTTACAGAGATTAATACCTTAAGAAAGAATGTGGCAGAACTCCTAAAAATGAAAGATTCACTTATTGAAATAAAAAACACAACAAAGAGCTTCAGCAGCAGGCTCAAGCAAGAGGAAGAAAAGAATTTCAGATCTCAAAGATGGTCATTTTGAAATAACCCAGGCAGACAAAAAAAGGAAAAAATAATTAAAAATAATGAACAAAATCTAAGAGAGATAGAAGAAAACCTCAAGTGCTCTAACACCTGAATTGTGGGTATTCCAGAAGGGGAGGAGAAAGGAAAAGGCATCAAAAACCTATTCAAGGAAATAATAACAGAAAACTTCCAGGTGCAGGAAGAGATGCAGACCTTCAAATCCAGGAAGCTCAAAGGTCCCCAAACAGATTCAATCCAAAAAGATCCTCTCCGAGACAAATTATCATCAAATTGCAAAGCTCAAAGACAAAGAGAATTCTAAAAGCAAGAGAGAAAAGCATCATGTCACCTAAAAGGGAACCCCCATGAGACTAACAGCAGAGTTCTCGACTGAAATCCTACAGGACAGAAGGAAGTGGAATGATAAATTCAAAATACTAAAAGAAAAAAATTTCCAGCCAAGAATCCTTTACCCAGCAAGGCTCTCCTTCAGAAATGAAGGAGAAATAGTGTATTTCCCAGACAAACAAATATTGTGGGAATTCACCACCACATGACCAGCTCTGCAAGAAATTCTCAAGCGATTCCTTCGTCTGGAATCTGAATAAGGATGATCACTACTATGGATACACAAGAAGAGCAAAACCCACTATTAAAACAAAAATGCCAATGAGAAAGAGAAAGAAGCTAAATCATTCCAACTCAAATTTCCAAATAAGAATGAAGAAGAGAAATAAAAGGGGAAGTAAAGGTCAAAAGATATATAAAATATCTAAACAAAAAGCAATTAAATGACAGGAAATAAACAATACCTATGAATAACTACCCTAAATGTGAATGGATTAAACTCCCCATTCAAAAGACACAGACTGACTGTTTGGATTAAAAAGCTAGACCCAAGTATATGCTGTCTTCAAGAGACTCACCTCACCTGTAAAGAGACTCATCTCATACACAGACTAAAAGTGAAGGGATGGAAAAAGATATACAATGCAAACAGAAACCTAAAACAAGCAGGAGTAGCTATTCTTATATCAGATAAAATAGACTTTAAACCAAAAAACATAAAAAGAGACAAAGAAGGTCACTATATAATGATAAAGGGATCTATCCAGCTAGAAGATATAACAATCATAAATATGTATGTACCCAATACTGGAGCACCCAGATATATAAAGCAAACAGTCTTAGAACTAAATTAAGAAATAGACCTTTATAAATTAATAGTGGGGGGCCAAGCCCGTGGCGCACTTGGGAGAGTGCGGCGCTGGGAGCACAGCAGCGCTCCCACCGCGGGTTCGGATTGTATATAGGGATGGCCAGTGCGCTCACAGCGCTCACTGGCTGAGCGCGGTGCGGCCAGTCTCCAAAAGGACAAAAAAAATAAAATAAAATAAAATAATAAAATAAGTTAATAGTGGGTAACCTGAACACCCCTCTCTCAGTATGGGACAGATCTTCTAGGCAACAAATCAACAAAGAGACACAGGATTTAAACTACAACTTAGACCAAATGGACCTAGCAGATATATACAGAACATTTCACCCAGCAACTAAAGAATATACTTTCCACCAGCACATGGAACATTCTCCAGGACAGACCAAATAGTAGGTCACAAATCTAGTCTCAGCAAATTTTAAAAAACTGAAATCATTCCAAGTATCTTTTCAGACCACAATAGAATGAAACTGGAAATTAATAACAAAGAAAACCCTGTAAACTATAAAAATACATGCAAACTAAACAATAGGCTCCTTAACAACCTATGGGTCCAGGAAGAATTAAACAAGAAATATTTATTTTATAAATAAAATAAACACATCAAAAGAATGGAAAGCTATCAAATAAACAACTTAACACTATGCCTCAAAGAACTAGAAAAATAACAACAATCCAATCCTAAAGTTAGTAGACTGAAAGAAACAATTAAGATCAGAGCAGAACTAAATGAAAGAAACCCAAAAAATGATACAAAAGATCAATGAAACAAAAAGATAGTTTTTTGAGAACATAAATAAATTAGACAAACCATTAGCTAGGTTAACAAAAAAAAGAATAGAAAAGACCCAAATAAAAAAAAATCAGAAATGAAAAGGGAGACCTTACAACTGATGCCACAGAAATCAAAGAATCACTTGAAACTATTATAAATGACTGTATGACAACAAATATGAAAACCTGGAAGATATGGATAAGTTTCTGGACTCATACAAACTACCCGGACTTAACCAACAAGAGATAGAAAACCTGAACAGACCAATAATAAGCAACAAGATTGAAGCAGTAATCAGCAGTCTTCCAACAAAGAAAAGCCCAGGTCCAGATGGCTCTACAGCTGAATTGTATTGAATCCTTAAAGAGGAATTAATACCAATTCTCCTCAAACTATTCCAAAAAATTGAAAAAGAAGCCATTCTCCCAAACTCTTTCTATGAGGCCAACATTACTGTGATACCAAAACCAGATAAAGACACAACAATAAAAGAAAATTACAAGCCAATATCCTTGATGAATATAGATGTAAAAATCCTCAACAAAATATGAGCAATCAGAATACAGCAACACATCAAAAAAATTATACACCATGATCAAGTGGGATTCATCCCAGGGATGCAAGGATGGTTCGACATATGAAAGTCAATAAATGTGAGACATCACATCAACAAAATCAAGGGAAAAAACCATATAATTTTATTATCTCAATAGATACTGAAAAAGCATTTGACAAAATTCAACATCCCTTCATGATAAAGACTCTCAACAAATTAGGTGTAGAAGGAAAGTAACACAATAAAAGCCATATATGACAAGCTCACCACTAGTATCATTCTGAATGAGGAAAAACAGAAGGCTTTTCCCTTAAGAATAGGAACAAGATGCCCACTCTCACCTCTTCTATTTAACATAGTACTGGAAGTACTAGCCAGAGCAATCAGGCAAGAAAAAGAAATAAAGGGCATCCAGATTGGAAAAATGAAGTGAAACTGTCCCTATTTGCAGATGAAATGATACTATATATATAAAAGCCTAAAGACTCTATCAAAAAACATCTAGAGGGTCAGCCCGGTGGCGCACTGGAGAGTGCACCGCTTGGGAGTGCGGCGGCGC